TTTTCAAAAGCAATTTAAACCATTTTGAATTTTAATCAGAACCACTCAACCAATTAAATCAAATGCACCGGCATGTATGCACAACCATGTTGGTAAATTCCTATGATAAATTTTAAATTAATGAAAATTTTTATTTTCCTATGTTTTTATGAGCACAAAATTGCATAATTAATTCAATTTTTGTCTATTTCAAAAAGAGAAATTTTTAGGGTGTTACAATTTACGAATAATATAGTCTGACAGTAGATAAATTCCGACTACACGATCAATGCCATCTGCTTTATTGCATTATTTAAGAAGAAATAAAGTGCAGCGGCAGGTCAGGTACTACTCAACTCATGAGTCACACCCAACTAGCTAGCCTCTGATATATAACATAACACTGGCAAGGTATGTGAAGCATTGCAGCCTGGTAGATGCCTCAACTTAACGATGGCGAAACAACCTAGTCATCTACTACGCTGCAACACAACATGCACCACCGTACCATACATGAGAATATGCATGGGACTGGGATTCATCAGTGATTCAAAATACGGATGTTGGCAGTTAAATACTACGACTCCCGTCCCTTTCTCTAGCAAACCATGTCGTCAACCTAAGTCGATCATTTGAGTCCTGGCTAGCTGAAAAAACATGGTTTGTGCAATTAGAGAGAGAATATGATATCCATGACTGTTTGTTTGTGGATGCTATAAATAGCATTTTGTGCGGCTTTGTACAACAATGGGGTGGTGGCGCAATTGGCTAGCGGGTCTCATTGCTGAATGGCAAGTGATCGAGAGTTGGAGACTGGTTATTGGGTCCAACTCACTGTGACTGGTTATTGGGTCCAACCCCAGAGCAATGACAGATTCTGCGCTCACTGTAACTGGTTATTGGGTCCATCACAATGATAAGTCGTGTATCTGAGCTACTTTTTTATTTTTTATTCTTCCATAGGTCAAATTATACCTTAATTATCCCTGCCTCGGTTCAAGGCTGCAAACAGTTATTTTGTCTGGAACTAGATGGTTTAATCCACAGAATCAAGAGAAAATACTTACTCAGATTTCAAGAATGGAAAGCAAGATTCTTTTGAGAGTTAATTTGGTGCCGGTCTCTATCTTTCTTTTTCTCTCCTTTCTAGTTCCCTAAGTCAATCTTTAGCTCAAACTCAAACTTTAGCTTTTCAGTAGCCCTTGCTGCCAACTTGTAATTGCTTTCTGTACTTCATTTCCTTTGCAATATATTTCAGTAGGGGCCTAAAAACCCCTTCTGTTTCTCAAAAAAAAAATATACCTTAATAATCAAGAAATCTCACAATTCCACATTTATTGTTGCCGAACTACAATAGTTATGTTCATTCCACAAATTGTCCACTAAACTAAGAAGCTCAAGTGTCGTGAAGTCACGTCGCTACTATTTTTTAAATAAAAGTTCATTTAACTGATGATGCGAAAACACTAGGATTTGGTACCATTTAGAGCCTTAAACCTTGTACTAGGATTTGTGGCTAGCCACACATCTACAGGATCGGCACCGGACGCCTGCAGGTACAGGATGTGTGGCTTCAGATGCTAGTACGCGAGCATGTCCCTCGTCTTGGCCACGTCAAATGACGCCATGGCCTGGCTAAGCAACGACGCCATGCAGCCCAGTCCGTTGTTCAGGACACGGGCGACGGTACACCTGGCCATGCTAAGCACCACGGCGGTGGGCTTGGCAGCAGGCCCACAAAAGGAAGCATGCTGCAATTTTTTTAATTTTTTTTTCTGATTGACAAAGGTGGGCACTGTATCCACCTCTGATGCCTTTGCTTTTTATTCATCGGGTTTCAGTATGTACCCTCAATGAAGATAAGGTTGTACTCTATTTGATAAGAATTGGGCATAGTATTATTGGCATGGAATATGAAAAATATAGAAATTCTGGTGTTATGAGCTCTCTGTCATAATATTTTCTCCGGTCTGCGTAGATTTGTGGTAAAAAGGAGCCACTGAGCTTTCATCCACTTCGATTTTGGGCTTTAGTTTCGGTATTTTTTTTTTGCGTCCGAGAGTAAAGAAAGAATTAGTTCGGGTTGGAGCTACCAACAGGGACTAAAGACCGCTGTCCTGGCACGCTTTCGCAGCAGGCCACCTTTAGTCCCGGTTGATGTTACCAACCCGGACAAAAGGTCCTTCAACCTTACCAACCGGGACTAAAGGGTAACCTTTTAGTCCCGGCTGGTGTCACCAACCCGGATTAAAGGTCTCCCACCCAAAATTAAAGGTACCCCACAGGTCAATTCAAAAGAAGAGTGTCCAGGACCCTGTCACATATGGTGTACAGCTAAATTGGTAAGGAGTTTATGCACGAGGAAAGAGGTCCTGGGTTCGAATCTCACACATCGCAAGAGAGATCTCCCTATAATTTCATTTATTTTTCTTCTGAGGATGAACCTTTAGTCCCAGTTATGTGACCGGAGACTAAAGGCCAGGATTCATAGTCCCAGTTGAGAAACCGGGACTAAAGCTAATTCCCAACCAGGACTACAACTCATTTCTCTACTAGTGAGCATCGTGCTGCAGTAGAAACATGTTCCAGGGATGCACATGCCTCGTTGTCCCGCGAACGAGGGAGGGTCATATATTAGACGAGGAGTCAGAAACACGATTTTCTTTCTATTGAGGGGCCACCACAGTACAATTTTTTTCGTGAAATTTTGTTAAAAGTTTTAAAAAAAATTAGTAGAAACTCAAAGGGCTCGTTTCCGATCCGCCACTGGATCATATATAAGAGTGGTGAATCCTTCTCGATTGCTTGCATTGCTTGATCCTGTGCAGACTCAATCGCACAAGAACAACGTTCCTGCACAAAACTAGAGGCAAAGTTAAAAGACTACTACTAGCAGCATGAGATTTGGATGCATTGAGAAACCCAAACTTACATGTGATGACTGATTGTGTCGGGCGATTAGAACACCCAGCCCTGCGATGTCCTGTGGCTGAGTTGCAACTTGCAAGTGACCCCGTCACCGTAGACCGTACTGAATAGAGACGACTACTCGAGTGATGTGCCGGCGCCATGGCAGTAACATTGCAGTTTGCTCGCAAGAGATTTCAGTCGCTGAAGCCGCTTAAGGCGGTATTGGCAGTATTCCGGAGCGGTGGATCAGGGTGGGCCGCAGACCGGAGCTTACTGCAGGTTGCTTGTGCTGAAGTAAATTCAGGTGCCTAAATTTTTATAAATTTTTAGCCGTTTACAATGATATGGGCACAAGGATCCAGCTGTGAACTCTCTTACATTCCATGATATGGGCACCGAATCGTACTATAATTCGTTCATGAGACATTGTATACAGAAGCTGAAAACATAATCAGTTCTCTGTCCTAGTTGTTCCTCTTCATGGTGCACAGTTATTTGGAGTACTATTGTCGATTGATTTTTTAATAATACTCTAACAGTAGATAAATTCCATCTACACCTCAATTGATGTTACATTCATTTAAGCAGCAGCAAACTGCAGCAGACCAGATACTGATCAGCTCATGAGTCACACTGGCTCGGTATCAGTCCCTCTAGAGGAAACTAGCTAGTAATTGAAACAATTGATCTTATATAGTATAACTGTGGCTCGGTATCAGTCCCTGTACTGGCTGGTAGGGGCACATTACCATAGCAAGGCTGTGTCTCAATCATCTCTTGTTTCACGCAATTATATGTATGGTGGGACTGGGATTATTCATTTCATTCATCAGTGATTTTAAATGCGGATGTAGGCAATTCAATGCTACAGCAAGTTCCATCACCAGCAAACCATGTCGACTCAAAAAACCAAGGCCAGCTGTTGTTGTGGTATTGCTGGCTACTCAGGAAAACAAAGTTTTGTTTTCGTTTAGCCTTAAAACTTGCACTGGTGCTCACATCCCCAGCGTAACTCGTAATGCTTTCAATAGAAGCAGCTACGATTGGTGGCGTAAAACAATTAGAAGAGTATTGAAGGAGCACAAAAAAGAGTAAATTCTCTGATCATGTTGGGTGCTTGGGTTATTTGGAAGCATAGGAATGCTTGTGTGTTCAAAGGTGCCTCTCCTTCAGTTAACTCAATATTGCGTGAGCTGAATGATGAGCACAGCCTTTGGTGCTTTGCTGGGGCCAAGAAGCTGCAGAACCTAGGTCTTAGCGGCACAATCTGAGTTAGCTTTCGTCTTGGCTGGTCATGCTGTTTTTCTTTTTCATTTAGACTAATGCCAGTGTGATGTAAACCCCTCCCTGATCCCCGTATGAGTGGGGTTGATGTATGGGGATCTTTATTGCTCTCTCTATAATGCAAAGAAGCGCAGCTCTCCTGCGTTTTCGAACAAAAAATAGAAGCAACAACAAATTAAAGGTCATTGGACTACGAAGTTGTGTTGATCTGTTTTTTTTTTATTTTTGTCTTTTTTTTAAAAGAAAAAACTTTCAAGATTGTTTGGTGGCATTCCAATGGTGAAAAATCAGCTTGTAGTTTCATCCCAGTGTTTGCTTTCACGGTTTAGACGTGGCTTTGTGTCACATCAAAATAAATTAATAAGATGTTTGGTTAAAGAAATCACATTATTCGTTCATTAGGCAATTGTTCATCCCATGAATTTTGGTTGAATAATATTCCTCATACCTACATGGATTATTAGCTTGTGAGGGCTGAAGCAAGGAGTCAAATTAAAAAGATGACGGACCATCCATTTTTCAGACCAAACCAAACATCCTCTGAATGATAACTGATGGCAATGTTTATCAGTTGTTTCTGATTACCAGTTTCCTGTAAAGCAAACTGAGGTGTTCTTTACTGAATTCTATATTGGTTCGACACCAAGTATTTTTAGATTTACATAACGAGTCTATTCAACTCCAACCCAGTCTTTGACATCCTTATTTGGAGTGACTCTTGATAGTTAATTTGGAGTGATTTTGACTGATATGCATACAGCCACACATGTTCATACTAGCAGGTGACCAGAACAGAACAGAGAAATTAAAAAACAAGCTAACCATTCTCACGCCATGTCCACTACCTCCATGAATTCCCTGTCCACAGTCAACCTGGCGAGCGCTTCCGGAGAGTTGCCATAGACGTCGAACCGCGTCGAGGACGCAACCACGATATCTGCAGGATCGCGATCGCCGTCGCCGGACGCCTCCGGGTACAGGATGTGTGGCTTCTGATGCCAGGACGCGAGCGCGTCCCTCATCTTGGCCTCGTCGAAGGACGCCACGACCTGGGTGAGCAGCCACGCCTCACAGCCCAGCCCTTTGTCCCGCAGGACATGGGCGACGGTGCACTTGGCCACGCCACGCGCCACGGCGCTGCCCATGTAGTGCTGCGGCACGCCGTGCACCCTTCCTCAACATCCCACGGGCTGCCGGCAGGTCGTCTCCCGGTCCGGCGGCAGGCGCCGGGCTCGGCACGCGCCGCGCCAGAGGTGCGCAAGCACGGCCTGCAGCGAGGAGATGGTGACGGCTTGCGGCTGCACCGCCGTCACGTTCATCTCGGCGTTTGCCTTTGCCTTGAGGTTCCTTACGCTCGCCGCGGAGAGATGGAAGAAGCACGCGTACTGGCGGGACCTCGACGCGCCGGACGATGTCCTCCACGTTCCTGAAGGGCAGAGTGACCGGTACGGGGCATGTGTCGGGGAACCATCTGCCGAGCACCGGCGGCGGCATGGACAGCTCGCAGCCGTGGCCACCGCTGCGGTGGATCTCTGACCAGGTGTTGAACAGGTGCCAGAACGTGGTGCCGTCGGCGGCGGCGTGGTTGAGCGACAAGGCGACGAACATGCCGTCGGCGAGCTCGGCGACCTGTGCGGCCACGACAGGGCGGGGCTCCAGCATCGCGTCGCCACACAGCATCCCGTTCCACGGGAAGAAGGACCGCAGAACCGGCGGGAAGTAGCGCGGGGTGGTGACGTCGCTCACAGAAACCTCTGGCGCCACCGCGTGTACGAACTCGGCCCCGTCGTTGTTGCTGCAAAGCGACACGGTGAGACACGCACCGGACATCTCCGTGACGACGAAGCGGCCGGCCAGAGGGTAGAAGCGGCCCAGGGCACGCGCGAACGACGAGGCGAGTTCGTCGGCGAGTGCGCTGCTTCCTGCTGTTGCCTGGATCTTCTTGGGCAGAAGGACACCCATCTGGATGTAGTGCACCGAAATGTACTGGAGATCCCACGGCGTCAGCTGCATGATCCGGGGCGCCTCCGACGGCACGACGTCCGGCGAGCTTGCCGACTCTGGCCGGACCGCACGTCTGGACACGACACGGAAACCGCCGGTGGAGCCTTCCATTTGCTCGATCTGGTAACAGTCCAAGTCTCGAGCCACCAAAATCGCAGTGGACACGACATAATCGGACGTTTGTGGCTGAGAAAATTCACCAAGCAACAAAATGATAAAATTGCTATCTAAAATGGTGGGCGTGGAGACTTGTATGGCCCCGGCTGGTATAAAAAATACACTGTTTATGCTAAAAACACTGTTCCGGCTGAAATGTTGTTAGAAAAAAATACTGTTCCGACTGAAAAAAAGAAGCCGAACAAGCCGGCTTCTTGGTCAGCCGAACGAGGCCATAGGCCGTATTGGCACCTAGTTCTTGCCACACAACATTCAGTTATTGCAACTAAGGCTGAGCAAAAATAACCGAGAACCGAATCGAAAGAACCGGAACCGAAATCGAAAGAACCAGAACCGAAAATTTCGGTTAGCTGTTCGGTTCTTAGTTCTTAGAAACTGAATTAACTGATCAAATTTCGGTTCCTGGGCTCGGTTAACCGAAATAATCGAAGGAACCGAAATTCACAAACAAGCCCAATAAACCTTACAACCTAGACCTAATACCAACTTAACCCTAGATATAAAAGGTGGATGACACCCCCTCACAGCCTCACACCCTCACATTTTTTAAAATCTCGGCATTGTGCTTTTTTAAAAATCTTTTTTCCTATTTTTTCTATTCTTTTTTTTGCTGCTTGTGTAAATCCTCGGTTAGTTCGGTTGGAACCGGAACCGAACCGAACTAATCGAAACCGATTTTGCTCGGTTCCAAGATTTACGAAGAACCAATCGGTTCCTATTTGTAAAGAACCGAATTTGTGTCATAAACCGAAAAACCGAATCAAAACCGATCAGTTAACCGAACGCCCAGGCCGAATTGCAACACACAATCGGATAAGCTCAACATCAGTCATCAGCTAATTGACCCAAGACAAACTAGAGGCCGGCAACATTATCGCATCCAATTCATTCATAAGAAAAAAACAAACTACAAATCAGGTAATTGACCCAAGACAAACTAGGTCAGCCGTGGTCCTTCTGTAAGATGGATATTATATTCTATTGATGGTGTGTTGCGACGGTTAGGGCAGTCCCAATGGTTTATTAATGATTGTTTCTATCATCATTAAATGACTTGCTACGTAGGTAAAATGCTAATATGACAACGTAATTAATGAAGAAAGAGAGTAAAAATCCTAGAAATGGTTTTCTCATGAAAAAATCAGGTCTTCTCTTGACCCAATGCACCAAGAAACCATAAAATCGTCGTTGGGGAGAAACCACCAGTTTTCAGGGGGTTCGTGCCACACTTTTATTGGAGGAAGAAGATAGAGTTGGGAGAGAGAAAGAGAAAATAATTATTACACAAAGACACCTTCACTGTGGAAGGTAGTTTATATAGATGATTTCTTGTGCTATGGAAACCGTATTAATTTCTTCTATTGGGACTGCCCTTAGTAGGCTACTGTACGTGCTGTGCTTACAGTAAAGGGGAGCCAACAATACTGTACGTCTCTTGTCCTTCAAATGCTACTATATTATATATAGTCACTGGCTCATGGCCGAGCATTCATGATGGGGAGCATAGTGAAGACTTTGGTTATGAATTCATAAAAAAAATGAAACAGATCAGTGTGTACCAAATTAAATTAGTTGATCATGCTGGCAATAGAAATTGGACCCTATGGCGTGAGGAGCCACGCCGTGCAACCCAGCTTCGAGGACGTGGCAATCAAAGAGGCAGCAATCGAGGCCCAGCCCCTGGGCCCTGGCCATCACTCCGGCAGGCAGTACCTGCCTCAGCTCGTCCTCTAAGTCCCACTGCTATCTCAAGCTTTTGTTGGGGCGGTTCAGGGGATTTGTAGGGACGGTTTGGTTAGCCGTTTTTATTAAATCGTTGTTATAAGTCATAGATTTATAGGGACGGTTGTGGCAGCTAAATATAGAGCTGTCTCTATAAATCATTTTTTTCAAAAATCACGAATCTAGAGCCAAAAAATAGCAAAGAAAAAGTTTTTTTTTAATCTGGGGAGACCCCAGCCGGTCAGCCACACGCCCACTGCGCAGCATTTTTTTTAATCCGGCAAGTTAGGTGCAAAAGCATCTTTGATTCCTTTCTTCTAACACCCATCTGTACAACTTCATTGGCATCAATGATATGCATAGGTATTTTCCATCGTACCCATGCTTAGTCACGCCAAGAGAGTAACAAGCCAACAACTAATACAGTGGCGATCATTTCAAGTCTCTGTTGCAAGGTCAAACGCTACAAATACCAATATTGTACTCTTTGTCTAGTAAGTACAAACAGTTCGTTCTAATGTACTTATCCCTTGAGGTTTTCTTTTTGGAAACGGGAAGATTTTATTGCATCCAAGAAGTAACCAACGTCACTCAGGATTTTTAGGGGTGGCTCAAGACCATTTATAGCAATGGTTTAGTAGCCGCCGCTACCAAACCATTACAAATGGCCGATTGTAGGGGCAGTTGGCCAGCTGCCCCTACAAATTTGTAGGGGCGGATGTCCATTTTCTAGAAATCACGAAATTGGACAAAAAATTTGTCAAACACGGCAGACAAGATTCGAACCCGCAGCCTCCCCCTCGCAGGGTACTCCTATAACAACTGCACCTTACACTAATTAATGTCTATAATAGATTTTCTTTCTACTCATATTATCCTCAACCGAGTTTAAATTGAGTGTATGAAACCTTAAACGATTTCAAATGAAAAGTTGTCAACTACAAAGTTGTATAACTTTTCGAGATCTACAACTTTCTTTTTTTACTGTTTGTCCATCCGAGGTTGTTTAAAAAATTCGAATTTCAAATTTGAGAAATTCAAACATACTTTTCCTTGACAAAATGATTTCAAATGAAAAAGTTGTCAACTACAAAGTTCTATAACTTTTCGAGATCTACAACTTTCGTTTAGGATGTTTCTCCATCCGAGGTCACTTGGAAAATTCAAATTTCAAATTTTAAAAATTCAAAAGTAGTTTTTCTTGACAAAATGATTTCAAATGAAAAAGTTGTCAACTACAAAGTTCTATAACTTTTCGAGATCTACAACATTTTGTAGTGCCACCCCTAAAAAAAAGGTGTTGCTACAAATACTTTCTATAGTAGTGGCCAGAGATTGTGGAAGGCATCACACCATGTTCTTTCTCTAGATACAGCCTAAGATTGTGTGTGCTGTCATCATGAAGAAGGACGCAAATGACGCCAAAACATAATTACCCATGTCTCTCTGCACTTTCTCTAGAGTGAGTGCCTCTTTTGTTTATGCGTTTCATGACTTGGTTGCTAGACAAGTGCAGCCTGCACGCTGGCAAAATAATTTGAACCTCGACCTCTCTTGGTCCGGTCGATGTATTGACAGTTTAATCTCGTCCAGTTACCTGCAGCGCTTTGGTTATCTCTTGTTTTATCTCTTGTTTTTTGCTGATTCCTGCTTCATTCTCTTTTTTGTTGATGAGAACCTTTCTTCAGTGTGGCTGGCATCTAGCATATCATCCCAGAGTGTACTTTCCTACAGTTTTACAATTGAGTCACAATAGAACAACTAAGATCCTAGTGTGGAACATCAGAGGCATCAACAAGCAGGAGAAATGACATGCCATTCAGGTAAAAATTACTGAAAGTGCCTATCAGATATTTGTCTGCAGGAAACAAAGAGAAGTGCTGTTGATTATCTTTATCTGAAGAAATTTTGTCCTAGACAACTAGACTACATTGTGTTTTCCCCTTCTGTTGGGGCTTTTGGTGGGCTGATTACCATCAGGAATAGCAACATGTTCACTTCAACCGTCATTCAGGTCAATGCCTATGCCATAACCCTCAAGCTCCAAAACAAAGCTGATGGTAGAGCTTTCCACTTTCAAATATATATGGCCCAGCTTCCTCTCCAGAGAAACTAGCCTTCATCACTTGGCTAATTAATTAATCTATATGTTTTAATCGATTGTGTATTATATCGTGTAGCACGTCAAACAACCTCCAGGGACACTACTATGTGGATTCTATAGTTGCGAGTACCTCATATAGTTGCGAGTACCTCAGCACCAACTATAGGGTGCTACTGAATTCAGAAAGATGGTGGGAAATGGGACGAATCAACGAGCAGTGCATAACGAGAACTGTAGTGGAAATATGTGGATTTTTCTTGCACAAATGCGTGCATCAAAACGGAGCGTACGAAATCTGAAAGCAGGTCCAGACCTGTGGGGAGAGATTTTTGCTTACAGCATTTTCCATTTTTTTTCTTTTGAGCTTTATAAGCTCTGTAAGCTATAAATATTACCCCTTTATATATATATATATATATATATATATACACACACACACACACACAAAAATTTAGGTAGGGGCCTCCCCTGCTGATGTTTCAAAAAAATCTCGTGACACGTGTCTCCTTATTTGATTTATCGGATGCTGGGGATGGCAACGGGTCATACAAAATCCACATTTTTTTGGGAAGCCATTCATGCAAATTAAAATTGACGCGAAATTACATTCTCTAAATAAATTATAGAAATTTAGTTGTCTGTGGTAGACTCTATTTTGTTGGAAATATGACGGTTTCAATGCAAGAAAGAGAGTAAAATTGCATCAATTTCTTTATTATGGCCCTCGATTACAAGTATCGCTAATGGATCGTCTCTGGTAATGATAGTGTGTTGCAATGACCAGTACGCTACTGTGCAGTGCTCAGTATGCGGGCAAATTAGTTGATCATGCTGGCAACAACAATAGTATCCTATGGGCCTGGGATGCATCAGGAGAGTAGTGAGTGGGTAGAGATAGCAGAGCTGTTGCATCAGGTAGTGGTCCATGCTGCATAGAGAGAAGGAGCGTCCACCATTCAAGCCGGGCTGCAGGAGCTGGGAGACCTTAATAATGGAAGTTTATGTGAAGTTTGGATGCAGTCTCAGGACTTGAATCGCGGATTAGTTTTGTTCCTTGTTTGCTGCACTCACTAGTTGGGCTGAACACTTTGTTTTTTTTTCGTGATTG